ACTTGTTCAAAAAAAATTATTCAACAAATTTTTTCCATTTATCTACACTTTTTTTTGAATCATCTTACAATAGATTTTAAAAAATTTTGAAATATTTTTTAGGAATAATAATTTAAAATCGAATTATTTAAAGTAATATTATAAGATGGTATATTTTTAACATTATTCAAAGAAATATGTTTCCAAAAAATTTTTTTTGAATTGATACGCTCTTCTAACTAGTTATCGCGTTTCTGATATATTTAAAACGAGTAAAATTTCTCAAAAACTCCGATATACTATAAACAATCCGTTAAAATGTTTTGGTATATAAAGTTAAGCTTCTATTAGTACTGCATTGAAAGTTACTACTTGTTTTCATTTATTTCAGGTTGAGCTAACTAAATATTTTTTGCTGTTCTTAGACTACATGCAGTCATTTCTAACTAGCTAAAAAACCGCAGTTATCGTTATTCACTTCCTAAATTTAATTTTCATAATGTTTTCCACAAAATTTTTGTTAATAATAGTGGTAATGATAAAACAAAACTGATTAATTGATTTCATTGTATTAAGGAATGCTAATATGGTGATGTTAGAGACAAGGAAAATGCTGTAAATGAGCATTGGTTAATGGTTAAAGCCGCAGTTATTGGAAAAGTGACATTATCAAAATTTTAGAGAAATTTAGCGATACACAAAAAAATTGAATCGCAAAGTTAATTGTTATAGATAAGTTCTCCTGGTGCAATTATTGTAAATGACAATTTGAAAAACGATATTCCTACAGTTTTATAGTTTTCAAATGTCCTCTGATTTTTCCAACTAAAAATTACTTCTAAACTGGTTTTACATTAATTTTCTTGTAATTTTTGGCCGTTATTATGGTTACCATCTGAATGACGACATCTCATATGTGAGGTTGAGCTAATTTACGGTAATCTCAATACTATGCGAATAAATAAGTTATTTAATTTTTGTTGAAAATTATTATAAATTATTTCAACCCCTAACTTGATCATGTGATATCATTCAGATGGCCCATTTTTGCCACCAATTACATGCAAATTAAACCATAAATATTGTAGAAGTAATTTTTGGTCAGTAAGATCACTGGATATTTTCTACATTCTTATGTTTTTTAAACGTTGTGGGCTTTTAACATAATAATATAGACGTTTCCTTTGACTTCCTCAATGTTAATAATTAAAAAAAATAGACTTGAATCAATGATAAGGGTTAAAAGTTTAAAATATTAGACTGAAACAGCAACATAACATTTAGTTCTACAAAAAAAAGGTAAGTAAACAATCGAAAAGAAATACCGTAAATAAAAAATTGTTATTATTATAGTAGTACATTATTATAAAATGTAAAAGGTATTAATGAATGATAGTTAACTAATTCTTACAAAAAAGACCTTGTAATGAAACAGCTTGCTAAGAGACCACTATTAAACTGTTCGATTGCTCCAAATTGAACGACAAAGCGGTGCAACTAACACCCAGGCTTTTATAGGTGCACTTCTGCTTCATTTTAAGCACGATCGATCCCCACCATCCAAACAAAAACGTTTCTAGAATTTTCAGAAGCTATTCCACAGTTACTGTTCTTCAAGATGTGCTGCGCGAATTCATCTAGGTATTTCAAATTAGTGGTGCTGATAATATTTCCCAATAGTTTGGAACCATTAAATAAGCTAAGGATAAAAAAAACTATCTAAAACAGCGGAAATGAATTGTTTTTGAAAAGCATTTTTGTGACCCATAAAGACGACGTCCCTTGATTACACAACAGATAGTTATATGATATTTATTTTATACAAAGAAAATATAATAAAAATGCTATGTGGCTTCTGTATTTTAAATACCAGCCCTATAGTCCATGAATCTGATAATCGTCTCATTTAAAATCAACTTAATTGTATGTATTCCCATGGATACGTAAATGATTTTTGTTAGAGTCATCAAGTCATCCGTTAACTGAATCCCTCTGAACATGTATTCAGTAAAATAATAGATTTTTTATCAAATAAATATTTTTTATTGTGAATTTCAGCTCTACAGGGCGTAAATAAAAATATATTAGCAGGTGAAGACGCTCCATCAATTAGAGGGCGCTGCAATAGAATTTATCATGAGGTTATGAATTATCATGAGCCCTTTTTATAAAATGCCAAGAAACGAAACACAATCTTGTGTTTTTTGTTTCACTAAATATTTTTTTATTTTATCTAGCGATTTTTTAAATATTTGGTAAGTTCACCCGAATGAACTTAAAATAAATCTCATTCTTCATTATAAAGACTAAAGTCGAATCTATCATTTTACTCATTGGTCTTTGATTTGGTTGATTTGAGAGATATCACCCTACGTTTGTTTTTCGATTATTTGCTAACTTGGATTTTTCATTTTTCCATATCCTTAGAATTTTTTCCCACATGATTTTAGCTAGCAATAGAGCTTTTAATAAAATTTTTTACTCTTTACAATTTCCATACATGGAAGAAAAACAGGGTAAATGATTGTTATAATATGTAAATTTTTTAGAGTATCACATTCTTAAATAACCAAGCTGATGTTTGAAAATTATTAATCTTACGTACCCCTACATTTTTTTCTAATTAAAACATTAGTTAATTAAAACAACCTTGGGCTATTTATTAAAAAAGGGGATGCTACCAGTATCATCAAATACATAAGACGTTTTGTATATTAAATTCGATTCTCTGTAAAATTGATCCAAGAATCTATGGAAAAATTTTCTCGTATTTTTAACTCGGTGTGAACATGAAACAATTCAGTGTATTTGTCATGTCTAAAAATACTTAAAATACAGTTTTAAAAAAAAGATTACTTCCATCTAAAATAAAAATTTCTAAAGTGTTTAATAAGATACATTGTTTAGCTTGACTTTGGTTTTGAATTTTTTCGTGCAAGCTAATGTGTCGTGACCAATATTTTTATTTTCGTAAAATAAATATACTAAAAAATGATCTTCCTCCCCCAGTTAGTTTTTGAAGGATTTTTTTATTTTCATTAAACCGTTCAAGCGACCGTTTTAAGTAGAATTGTAAAAAATTACCATCTTAAAAATAATTAACATAGCACACGTAAGTTAATTTTTTTNTATTTAAATAATAAAATGAATAATTTTTCACAGTATAAGGTACATGTCCCTATTCGTGGATTATGTCTCTGTTCATGGAATATGAAAATTCATATATTTGTTATACAACTTACTTGATAAAAAAATTGTGGTAGTTGTATATTTTATGTATCTTTAGATGGATTTTCATTAAAACCATGTATATTTTATTTCACTTCATTATTCTGGGCTCATAATTTTTGAAAGGTATCTTTGTTTCTACTATATCTATACTAATAATATTACCCTTACTTGTATTTGTTATGAGGTAAACACATTACAACGGACTTTTAAGTGAGCTTTACAAGGTTTCCAAAAATAATTCCCAAAATTTTTAAACAATGCAACAAGGTACTTGTTAAAAATTCTGAGAAGATTTACTGAATTTTCCAGAAATAATTAAAAAGTGACTCAGATCACCGCATTTTACTCGTCGTTGATAATATCATTATCGAAGAGGCTGCAGGCTTCACAAATGGATAAGCTTATCACATTCTACTCTTTGATCCTTTTTACTTAACTCTAGTATTAAAGAGATTATACCAAAAATATGACGAGTCATCTCGGAATAGCAGTCAAATGAAATTTCAAACCAGCAAGTTGTTGTAAGTTATTAAAAATGTGAACAAATAATAGTGGAGGTATGCCTACGACCCAAAATTATCATTCTAAATTACTTCTAGAACCTTTTCTACACCAGTGATGCCAAGTGATGTACAATTATCACTTAAGATCATAATTAGGTACTATGAAAATATGAAAAACTAGGTGTATGAACAATCGGATGATCTGATGTATGTATCTTATTTGTTTCTTCATGGTTAATCAAAAATGACGGGAATACTATAAAGTTGAATAAAACAATATTCTTATAGGACAGTATTTTACTGTATATCCCTACTTATTGCGGTAGCACGTGTTAAAGCCACTGGAGACCTTTCGTTATCTTAATATCTTAGATCATACGTGTCATCTGATAAATATTGATAATTGACCTAAAATTTGATTCTTACACTTACGTATTATTGCTACGCCATGTGTTCACAATAACGGTAACGTGTTACGTGACATTCGTGTGTCGCGTCATTGAGAATAACTCCATTGTAGTTGCATTAACTCTGTACTTTAAAAAAATTCATATTTTTCATACGTACAATAAATAATAAATCTTTAAAAAAATATTCATCCCTGCTTACATTTAATTTTTTTTATAAATTTTATGTATGCATTTTCTTTAATAACTTTATTTCGTACAACTTGCAGCTCTCCTAGTTTGGACCTATTCTTTAATATAATTTTAATACAAAATATGAGAATTTATACCCTCAGTTTCGGAAATTTTTTGACGAAATTAAGGACATTTTTGAGAGGGATACTTAAATCAGTATGAAATCTACAGGAATAAGGAAAAAAATTGTCTCTGCAGGCTCCTTGAACTGATCATTCCTATAATCTGATTAAACATTTTGTACAGCATTATATATCAATATTTATGAAAGCCAATTTATTTTCTTATCTGAAATTCCAAAAAGAAACAATAAAAACAATTTGTAACTGAATATAGTATAATGAATTTCCACGATAATGTAAGAAGGTGTGGAAACGTAACAAGCATTTTGCTAAAAATTCAAAATCACATATGCGCACCAGTGGTGACCACTATTTTTTTCACCTTCTATTTGATAGGCACTTGTTGAACATCCAATTAAAAATCCATCTGGAAACGACAGATCAACTTCTGCGAATACAGACACCAAACTAAATAAAAAGTACCTTTAGACTCGTTTTTTTTTAATTTCACTATTAATAAGGACTAATATTATAATAGCAACAATAAGCACACTACTTGATATATGTCACTCGAAATTATTTCTTTAAGACCCAATTTTTTGTGCTCTCACAGGTATCTTGTCAAAGATAGTTAGTGTCTAGAATATGATTTTTTAATGTATTTTATTTTAAAAAAGCTTCTTGTTGAATACAGATTTCTAATTTTCATCCAAAATAACTGGTTCTCATAAAAAAACATAATATACAAAAACAATGAGTACTTAATGAGTACTTTATGAGATCGTTTTGTGTTGTAGTAAAAAGACAACAAAATTAATACTACAAAACAATCAATTTTTATCACATATACATATACACTTTAAGACACATTTACAGTAATGAAAAATAAATACTATTGTATGTGTATGAATCATAATTAAATTAGTTAGAGCAATACTGCCATGTGATGGTCAACCATTACGATATTATTGAATAGCTTACTGGCGGTGGCATCACTCTTTTATTTTTTAACACGTCTTTGAACCAATCCACTGATTTTTTTGCTATTCTGGTCCTGTTCAGATCAGTAAAATTGACTTGGAAGAGTCCAAACCGTTCACTGTAATATTTTTGTTTTTCTTATTTTTAACTTTTTGGTTAGGAAATTGTATAAAATGAATATTTTGACTTACGTATAACCAACTTTCCATTCAAAATTATCTAAGAGACTCCAGACTGAGTAACCTTTAACATTACATCCATGATTTTTTATTGCTTTAAACATACTTGCCATGTACAAATAATGATATTCAATTCGTTGATAATCTTCCAATATTCCATTATCAGATATTCCATTTTCAGTAACATACACCGCTACATTTCCGTATTTGTTTTTTATTTTGATCAAAGTATCTTCTAATCCTTCTGGTACAACCTAAAAATATTTTCATAGAATGTACTTGAAAAAATTGTTTACCAAGTCATCATTACCAACTTGATAAATGTCATTATAAACATCAAGATTAATTTTTTCCCTCATGACTATTCATACATCAATGAAACTAATCATTTATTCTTGCTAAACAAACGTAAAAAGTTTTTAATTAAATCATAAAAGAAAATCTGTTTTCCTTAGTAAGTATAACTATTATGTGTCAATAATTAATGTAAGATTATTTATTTAATCCAGTTTTAACATAGTCAATATAAAAAAAGCTCATGATGATATGAGAAGCATGTCAATGTTTATCTGGTATATTTCGTAGTCCAATTTTTATTTCATTGAATGTACTACCCATAAAATTAATAAAAACTTACTTGAAGCCAAGAACTTGGGGTATTAGGCCATGCAGGATCTTTACTGTATATTATTCCATCATCGTTTGGGTAAATAGTATAATTTATTCTTGGAGCCGGCTCTACTAAGCGACTAGTATAATGATTTACCCCCAAGAAATCAAATGTTCCTCTAATAAAAATTACGTATTAGTGCGAAATAAATATGTATTCCTCGAATTATTAATAAGAGTTTCAATTAGTATGAACTCATCAATTGTTTTCTTATGAAGACAAATAAAGAGTCTCATTGAATATACATGTATATGAATACAATTCTCACTTAATGTACTTAATCCATTTTTTTGAAAAAGTTGGCAACCTCGATCGTTCTAATCCCTCAAATTTACTATTTTCCGCGACTCTTTGTTTGACAAGAGGTGGATAATCACCGTCTCGTGAATAAATTGGATGAGCATATCTATCGAATGCGAATTGGAAAGCTACTTCATCAGAGATCGAGTCACTTTTGTGCACGGGATAAAAGTAAAATGTGTTCAACACTATTCCTATGTGTCCATTTTGTTTCGACCTAAATTCTTCGTTGTAAATGTGGTATGCTCTAGCATGAGCTTTAATGATGTTGTGAGTGCAAAGATATTCTGTTTCTGTAGAGTAAACATTTTTATTATTTGTAGCACCAAGTGCTGTTCATAAGAGAAAAAAAATAGATAACAAACTTTACAAAGTCAGCTGTAATCCAAAATTGTATTCTCATAAAATAATTAAATACGCACCAAGTGAAAATGATCCTTTGTGCAATATATCTTGTCTGCAAACATCGTGTGGCTCATTTATGGTAGAAAAAATTTTAACTCTATCACCAAACGCCCGAAACACAACTCTAGCATAATCACCAAACCAATTGACCATAGCTTCATTGGACCAGCCACCCATGTCTTGAAACTTTTGGGGGTGATCCCAATGGTAAATCGTAACAAATGGCGTGATGTTATGTTTCAACAATTCATTAATTAAGTTGTTGTAATATTCTATGCCATCTTCACTGACAACATTTGAATGACCAGTTGGTAGTATTCTGGTCCAGCTTAAGGAAAATCGGTAAAAGTCCATCTAAACGAAAAAATAGATTTACAAAAATCTACCAAGTAATGTAATGTACTTTTTGACACTCAATGAGGTGGATAGTTTAAATTTAATTATTTTTGCTCGATAGTTTTAACTACAAAAATAGTGTTGAAAAATGTTTAAACTTAATGTTTTGTACTTACACCTAATTTTTTTAATGCTTCGACATCTTCTTTATACTTATGGTATGAGTCACAAGCAACATCGCCACTGGAATTATCTACGATTTTCCACGGTTTACTGTGAGTAAATCTATCCCAAGCATTTTCTCCTTTATCTACAAATATTTTTATACATTGAAAATTATTTTTTAGTTCCAGCGATAAAATTTACCCCCTTAAAGATTTAAAGTTCGATTAAGTTAATTTTGACGTTTATTGAAAAATTCTGAATTTTAGAAGTAGGTAAACACTAGTTCTCTGTACCTGATATATTCCATGCCCCTTCTATTTGATAGGCACTTGTTGAACATCCAATTAAAAATCCATCTGGAAACGACAGATCAACTTCTGCGAATACAGACACCAAACTAAAGACAACAAATGACGTTTAGTATTATTAAATGTTGTAATTTTAAAAAATTTTAAATTGGTACTTTAAAGTTCTTAGTTGCACAAATGACAGTAAAATAACAGCGTTGGTTAAAAATTATACTCAAGTATACTTTAATCGTACAGCTTAAAAATAAATTATATACAGTAATGAAATGACCCAATATTCCTACTTGATGTACAATAAAATGCTGAGTGACTTAGTAGATTGACGAGATCTCATAATGCAAGTACACTAGTAAAACTACTGTTAATTAAAATATTTTCCAGTAGTAGAAATCTTTGACTAATAAACTAGTTCACAATTTCAAGACACAATTATTTTTAAGAGCAAAATTTTCATACTGCAATTGATGTATGCCGACTACAAGGTGGTTTATATACGTTATGGATCATATTTTATCTCCTATAAGTTCAACGTCTAAAAAAGGCCCCCTACCCTTTTAAGCGACTCTACCATTGATAACACAAAAATTTTGAAACTAATGTAAACGTGAAATGGACGTATAGATAAGGTATATCTTGATTATAATATCAATATTTATGACATATCTCCATCATAAGTTTGACGTTTGATGATGAAACAGATTATAATAACAATTACAATGATGAAAATAATAATAAATATATCAAGTCTGTTCTTACGTCATGAGACACTTAGCAAATTATCGATTGCATTATGAAATCTTTGGAATTACAGTGTTTCCCTGGTTTATTTCACGATTATGAATTACAAATACTAATAACATTTCTGTTGATTAAAGTTAATAAAATAATTTTCGCTTCCTGCATTTGTTTCGATAACCCATAATCAAAATATAACTTTTTGAAAAAGTTTTAAAAATATGTGATATTTTTACAACATGCTATTTCTTTGGATTTATAAATTCTCAGAGACTTTTAATATATTTATAAAATAAGAAGTCCTTTAGGATCGTATAAATATTTTATTTAATTTTAAAAAGGGCTCATAGGGAAAAACTATACTATTATGTAAATTTTTTTCTTCTGTGCATCATTCAATTTTTAATTTGACATTTTTATTTGTTGATTCCCTGAACCAACTAAATTAATAAAATTCCATTTTAATATCCCATGTGATATATTCGTGAAATTTCAAATAGCTTCTGTAATAAAACACATCATATATTTTTGAAAACACAAAATAAAAAGTTAAG